CTTACTTGAAAGGCAATATTGTTTGGAGAGTGAGCAAGAAAAAAAAAAAGCTCACTGCAAACGCTCTCAGATATTATTGACTGTGATAAGTTAGTAGACATTTTTGCTCTGCCACTGTTCGTTGATGGTTGTCTAGGCAGGAGGGCTGAGTACATTTTACATCAAGGAGGCCCTGAGCCAATAAAAGAGAATATTGACAACATATGTGTTGAGAGCTCCAAGTCCATTACAGCACTAGGTCAATGACCTTACTCCTTAAAAAAGGGAAATAAAAAGTGAGCATTACCATAAAAAAGTTTGGCTCTGTGTGGTGAATCTTCTCAGACAGAGAAATGTAAAAGGACATAATTGCATCAAAGAGCCATGCAGACAGCCCCCAGTTGATACCATGAGCTCGGGTAGATAGCTTCACTTTAAATAGAAAAGGGTTTAGAGGTACTTGGCGGTAGGGTCACAGGAGAGGGACCCCTAGTGTCCACTCGGAGAAGCTGCCTTTTTTATTAAAACTTGATTTATCCTCTATAACTGGTTCCATGTTACACTTCACTTACTTTTGTCCTCTCTTGACAGAGCCAAGCAAGGAATTAGTTATACGGCAAGGGTAGTCAAACGGTTCATAAAATCTTCATCTATATCTACATAATGGCTTTTCTGCTGAGGATGAAAAATGATCAGGTCCACAGAAAGACCCTGTGGGTCAATGGGAGGGACAATGGCTTTGTCTATGGCCTAGGACTTCACATGCATCAGTTCCTTCCCATCTACCTTTCCCTTTGGTTGTTGATAAATACCCTTATCTTTGTGAAACAGGTGATAGGTTTCAAGCAGCATGTCTCTACAGAGCCCTTCGCTCACCTGCTTATTGATATCTCACATCTACTAAGTCATCCAAGCTATAGCAAGAGTCACCGACACCCTCTGGGCCTCTTTGCCCCAAATCATGTTAGCTCCACTTCCTGTACGATCGCCCCTAGGGCTGCCCCAATGAATAACATCTATCAACACCCTGAAGTGAAAGCCAGAGGCTTGTGGAGGCAAAGGGCTTTAGCCCTCAACCCAGACACACCCTAAAGCATCAGTCCCTATCAGATATGTGACACAAGCGGGTAGAACTGTATGTGTATGTGTGTGTGTGTGTGTGTGTGTGTATGTGAAACAGCATAGGAACAACTGCTCGAGAGGGTGAGAGACAACAAGATAGAGATAAAGCGATAGTTACAAATTAATTGCTGGGGGAATTACGATCACTATCTCTTTCTCTGATGTAATTTAAGAGACAAAGGGGTGATTTTCCCTCAGATCAGGGGAATGATGAGAAAATAGCTGCCAGGCTGTGTACATCAGGGTGATGTGGATTACAAACAAAGTCACACATATAAATATTAAAAGATCATTTATGTCACAAATGAGGCTGGAGGATGTAAGAGAATACAGGTTTATTCTTTGTCTTTACCAGCATCTTCTTTAAGGCAATTCCCTAAATTCATTCCTCACTTTAAATTTTCATGAGAGAAAATAGGTAATTTCATCTTCATTAAACTTACAAGGGGCCCACTCTTTGGCCTTACCAGCTGAATTAACTGCTTGGCTTTGGGGGATTAGACAATGGGCAGAAATTCCGTCATCCTGACAAGACTTATATCATCACATCTCTAGTCTTTAATGGGCATAAGATGATCCCTTCCAGTTCAATGTCAAATAAGTCCTTAAGAGACTTACTATATGGAACAGAGGATAGAACTTTTTGATGGACTGACCTGTGAAGGTGAAGCAGGAGAGCAGGAAAGAAGAGAGGCACTGATTTGGGATTGTAATGACGTTGAAAAGACAGTAAATAAATAAGATTGGCTTGGCTCTCTTTGAAAACTGATTGATGTGTCTTTTGGGATGCCCCCCAGTATGAAAGACCTACTGAGTCTGTGGCTTTCATCCCTGACCGAAAATCAATGAGCCAGAATGTATGAGAGGCTCATGCTCTCTACCCAACAATCTCCAGCTAGATACCCAGGTAACTATCTCACCAAAAAGGGAATAGGAGATACAAAAGGAGCAGCTAGCTCAAATCTTTTTTTGGCCTTATTCAAGTGAAACCTAATTCTGAAGTACACTGTCTGTGAAAAAAACCCATAGTAATATATATTGATAAACCAAGTGCATTCAACCTCACGAAATACTTTTATTTTCCTGAGATGAGTCTGAACTTCCAACAGAACCATCCATCCATCAAGTTTCTGCGTGCTGAATTAGGACTGGCTGGTGTAATTGCATAACACACGAGTGTGGCAGCCGTCTTACACAAAGTGGAGAATAGGAAATAGGAAATGCTCCTGGAAGTGGGTGTAATTGTAACTGGCAGCATCTAGAATTGTGTTCAGCCTGACACTTGAGGTAGTCTGCTGGAGTGTAGTTTGATTTGAAGGATGACAAAGAACGACATGCTGGTTTCAAATGAACTCGTCTGACGTAAGCAAAGATTCTGGTGTGAGCCGCAGAGACTCTGTCTGGTACACGCTGCTCATTTGAGGGTGACAGAAGGTTAATCAAGCTTTAAAGCATGAGATTACAACAGACATGACAAGCAGGAGTGAATAGATTTGGCACACTGTGTGATATAGTAACTGCTCAGAGTTAGTTTTTTTAAACTATAAAGTCAGCGGGTGAAATTATGTCAAAGAAAATGCAAATATGTGCACATTGAAGGTAAAAAAAATAATAATATGGTCGCACGTAAAATTGAATCATAATTGTTTGGATTGTGATTGTCATCCAATCATGCACAAAGTACAATGTGAAAACCCAAAGACAGATTTCAGTGACTGAGATGCCTTTTGTTACCAAATGATCTATCACTGGAAACTTAATTGTTTCTCTTTACAGAGTGTGGACTACTTTTTAAAAATTTACTCTCAAACTGTGTGTAAAGATTTCTGTTTGTCCTCCTTTCATGAGATGAGACAAATCCCCCCTATGCTCTATAGCATCTGAACTCATTTCCAGATTCCATTTAGGAAAAAAAAACCATGACGCCAGCATGTCAAAAGGATTTTCCTCTCTCATCACTTCAGAATAAAGGATCCATGCAGCTGTTTTTCAAAGTACTGAGTTCCATATCAATAAACAGAAAACTGTCAGTGCATAATATGCTCTGGTAGCATAGCAGTGCTGTGCACTACGGAATAAAAGTGTGCTGAGTCTGATGCACAGTGCCGTGCAGGAAGAAGAGCCATCATAAGGACCCCTGTCATCTTGGTAGGGTCACAGCAAAAGGAAAATAGGTCACAGACATTTAATAGAGGATATATGATTGCATCTCAAGCATATTCATAAACAAAGACAGTATTTCTCATCAGAGTCAAGCTTTTCAGGACCCTGGCTTCAAACCCAGAGGGGACCCTGGAAGCTCTTCACTCTGCTTCCTCAGATTCCATTCAGAAAATTCCCAATGAATACATTTGATATTCAAATAATATTTTAATTTGTGACATGGAAGTGTGTAGTGTTTTTACTACCTCGGTGAGGCTCTGTGACAAAGCTTCCCTCACATGTGACAACCCTTCTTTCTTGTGCATCCTAATTCCACTGAACCGCTGCTTCCTTTAAAGAACTAATGTGTTGTAGGTGAGGTCCTCTCAAGGACTCAACCACATGACCAGGGGACCAGGTGCTAAAATAAATCAGTCTTCATGTTTTCAAAATATAGACTGCTAAAACATAGCAGTGCTAATCTGAGGTTGACAATTATCCCCATAACAACCCAGTGATATTGACTGTACATGTAGTTGCTTGTTTATAGCAACAGCAAAATAATGTACCGATAAGATGAATACACACTTATCCTTGACATAGAAGATCACAATATCAGGTACCCAAACATGCATTCAACAGATTCAACATATTATAGCAAGAAGACAAAGCTGCAACAAACAGAGTCTGTTGAGAGTGACAAGCAATTTGTTTTGATTAAAGACATCTGCGTAAAAGACAAGAATCCTTCAAGGTGCTGCTGCATGTCAGTGGGACATTTACCAAACATAAAGGCAAAAAGAAACGTAATATACAAAGACATTGTGAGTGTCCAAAGCATGACGGCCGACAGAATTATCCAGCAGAACACTTCCTAAACATTGCCATGAGACTGGAGGTGGTATCATGCAGTGACAGCATAGACTCATATGAAAAGCAGGACAATTAGATGACAACTGTAGCTGCTCTACAAGTCAGGGATTGTGCTGAGTAAAAACTATTCCCTATAAGTAACATGGACACCATTAAGATTGTATTACTGTTACAAGATTGAGGATCAAGATGCCAACACGAGGGCAACTTCAATAATAGTGTACATTACTGTATTGGATTTTAGAGGCATTCAATGTAAGATTTAAATCATGTCACTCAGCAGTACAGTTTTCATTACAGTTTCTCCACTCAAGAGTTTTCCTTCTCTACTGCTGCATATTTTCATGTGACTCGATGCACAAAATAAATTCATTAGTGGTCATAATGTATGTGACCTTCACCTCTGTATGGTAAGCATTTAAAATGGAAGCTTTTCTTTGTGTGTTGTGTGCTATGAATACATGAGCCAAGAGCTTATACACAATACAAATAAATGCGAGCTACACTCATGGCGATCATTCCCTTGTTTTTAAGTCTTGCTAATGCCAATCAGTGACAACTCACTTCTTGCAAAATGAAAGTAGATTTATGGGTTTACATTTTGAAGTTATAATTGCCAAATTTAGTATATATTCATTTTGAGACTGCTGAGGAGTTAGTTAGGAGCTGCTTTTTACTTACATTGAATCTTACACATCATTCTTTGCTAAGAAAGGCATAATTACTCAGCCAGAGACACTGCATGTTGTAGACCAGCTCAGCTTGAGTGTTCTGATGTGAAGGACTTATGCGATATGCGGTCAGGAGAAGTGCAGAGGAGACAGGAGGAGAGTTGGTGCTGGGTTAAAAAGCCAGTTAAATACACACACCTAGGGTTCTGTTACCATAGTTAGCACCCGGCCACCGAGAGGCTGGACTGGAAGGGCTTTGATCACCTGCAACAACGTTGGTGATAAATAAAAAATAAAAAAAGTAAAAGAAGGGGAAGATGGAGGAAAAGGAAAAGAGAAAGAGGCATCAGAGGTGACAGGTCAGATATTTTGCAGAAATGAACCACTTGAGAAAAAACCCTTGACACATTTGGACACAGACACCAGCTCAAATAAAACCCAAAACAAAGAAATATGGAATTAAATTCTGAATATTAAAAGTATTATATGTGTTAAAATGAGAGTAATGTGTATGTCCATGTGAGAATTTAATTTAAATGATTAATCATACCATTTTTTCATGCACTGCACATTTTGAAATGAATTATTATTATTAAATAATAAGTTTAAAACCATAAGTGAGTCCAATAACTTGCAATCCCCTCCCCCATAGTAGTAGCATATTTTGTGTTAACACACATGCACCAATGTGTCATGAAAGATGACTGATGGCAGAACAAGATGGGACACGAGACAGACAATGTACCAGTGTGTACTAGAATATCATGTATAGTGCATTAATATGCGTGCACCACAAATGAAAAATAGATTTTTTTTTAACCTACTGTCACACAGGAGAGGCCTTACTGTTTTATTGCTGGTAATCTTCCCTAAAATATATCTTGTCGACTAACAACAAGCATTTGCTACTATTTAACATTTTGTGAATCTACATTTAAAAGACAAAGAATAAATTGTGTCCTACTGACAGAAATGTAAGACTAATTATTACAACCCAACCACCTCTCCAGATGTAAATATTGTTAAGAAACAATCTTAAAATATATGGTTTGGTCAGAAAATGATCCCTTCTGCCTCTAAAACTTTGATCTGATTGGTAAATGTTTATTCTACCCTCTTTTTTCCAACCATGATTGCCAGTGTGAAGATGGCAGCACCTGTGGCTCTACTGCAGAACTCTGACTTGCATATCAATTGAGCCTGGCACCACTGTTAGCTGGGTGAGAGCCATTCATCATGGCAGAATGGAACATGTTAACACCAGGATCACTCAATATCAGCCTCAGTCCAACTGCATTCAATGTGGTTAAATTGTGATAGGTGCTTCATGAATGGCAAACGAAAGATTAATAGCCAATGACCCAGACTAGGCCACACGTATGCTTGTTTCTCCGGGAACTGTATATATGTACTTTATGTTGTTATATATGTGTGTGTGTATCGGCCAGTAAAGTCCAACTGACAAAAGCACATGAACACAACGTACACACTGATTATACAAAAACTCTCTAGTTCTTATGACAACCAGGAACCAATTATATTGCCATTTAAAGTGTAAACAACTAAAGGGAGTTGGCAAATTTGTTCACACGTGAGACTGACAGAAATGACAACAATTATAAATTGGGACATGAGTACAGTGTTTTTCTGCTGCCTTACCGTTACGCGGGGTCCGTTTTCGTCGATCACGGAAGGCTGCTCCGGACTGTAGAGCTTCCATTAGGCTATCCATCACACCGGTTTCATCTCCCTCTGTAAGAGAACAGGTAAAAAGAGGCAAAGATGTTAACGAGACATTACTAACATTAACAGAACAGGATAACCACATAATAACACAGTCTGTCCTTGAACACACACACACACTTGTGCCCAACTGTTTCAAGGTATCATACAAGGTGTGCAAGCAAAGACTGCCCTTAAAAAACAGGTGCATTCCCATACATCACAGCAAGAGCAGCAAGAGCAGTAAGAGCGACCTGTGATTGTGAATGAGATATAAACAAGCGATTTAGAAGGTGCATGGGTGTTGAGACAGAGGCCTGTCACTCAGGTCTGTCCTTTTTTTCAGTAAATAGCTGGGGAGGAGGAAAATACACGAAGAGCTTAGCAACTAATACAGGCAGAGGAGCTTCAGGATGAAAGCATCCACTGATCCTCATTGACAGATATTCTTTCTGTGGCTAACGCAGGGGAGCTAAGTGCTCTTTACAAAGATTTAGTGTGGAGCCGCTCAATACACGGACGCTCTATCATTGTTCAGTCAATGACACCAGGTCCGACCTTCGAAAAACATTCCCCCAGCCCACCATTCCAGCTGTCGTGCAGATCCATGAAACTAGAGAATTGGAGGCAGTTGACAAGGGTGAGGAGACAAGTAGGAGACACATGAAATGCTCAGGCCAAAGGAATGACAAGTTGAGTCCACACAGTACACAAGCAGCATCCCGCTCACTGAAGAAAGGGTTCAAAAATGAGCATAGGTTCTATATCTGGGTCATCTATCTTTACACCCCAATACTAATGAGTCAGAGGGGCACCCTTTTTATCATTCTAGACCAGAACAGGCATTATTTTAAACTAGGATCATTAGGGTGACTTATTGTAGAGCTGGTGACTTGGCCATCAATTCTTTTGCGTATGAGAGTGAACTAGCTCGTCCCCAATGTTTACCATCAGGGTCTCGGCTTGTTGTTCCTCCACTGTGCTTACAGCTATAGCTGAAGGGAAACAATAAGTGGAGACAACTGCTGCTTTCAGCACAACACACTTTCCCCAACACTAGGGTGATCAATCTTTTGTTACCTGCATGTAGCCTACTCAAAAGAGACACGACAGTCAGGTAAATTGAATTCATAAACAAAACAAGTTGACAATGAATGCTGCAGGATTCATTTAACAAAATGGCAAGTATTTTGCCATCACCAGAGAAGTCAGGGCGTAGCATGTTTTTCCCCTCTCCTTCAAACCACTCAACCTGCAATCATTCATGCAAGACGACAGTGAAACTGAGAATAGAAACATGTCTTGTGTAAATTTAAAAAAAGCAACTCCATTCGTACTCACACTAGTTTTGCTCTCTATCTCTTTCCTTCTCTTTCTTCCTCAAGTCCTTCCCAAGGGCTACTTTGAAATCAAAGTATCTGTTCCGGCTGTGTGCGGTGCTTAAAAGCAATCCCGATTAAATCAAGCTTAATTAGACCAGCTTTATCAGGACAAAACCAAAGCTGAGCCAAGTAGTGCTTATCTCAAATTGCAGCACTACACCTCAGATAGCAAGCTCATTGGTTTAAAAGGGGGAGCATGGGTTTCATTTGCTGTGGACCTAAAGAACAACGACTTGCAGCTACTATAAATGTATCTACGCCCCAAATCTTTAGCTACTCCTTCTTATGTAGGCTAGGAAGGACACATTGTGGATCTGACACAAGGCATAAAGTGCTAAATGGCAGGTAAACATTTATCTATATCCACCTTGGCATGAGAAACTTTTTGACAGCTTCTTCTTGACTACCTTCTTCATGGAGACCTAGACGTCACAGGGGGCACCTGACACTTTGATCAATTTGTCCTACTTTTAGCTTAACTGTAGCACAATTCATCATTTGTAATGGCCAGGACGTGGGAACCTGACTGTGGTTCAGCAGGAGGATTGCAGACACAAAGAACCAAAATTACTAAAATGGGAAACACTCTCCCCAGTCGCCTCACAGAGCTCAATTAACTATGTCCTATTGGGCCACAGCTTAAACTCGAGCAGGCCTTACCCTTTACAAGAAACTCTAACAAATGAGCCTTCAAACTAGGTAGTTTGAATAAAATATATTCATACATACAATATTCCACAAATTTGCAAAGACAAGGTAAGCGTTTTGTAGGAAAAAAACTGAATTATGAATTATTTGACTGTACTTATTTCAGTAATCCTCAGAGAAAAACACCTTTTCCCACTACTTATTGCAACATCGCCCACTTAAGCTGACATTTCTGCCTCATTCCTGCAATTCACTCTTGTCTTATTTTGAGCTGTAAAACCTAGGTTCATCCGCTTCTCATTAACAGCAATAGTGGATTGCATGCTGGGGAATTACAGAAAAGCTAACCTTTTATGCCCAAAGATCTTTCTCAAGAGTTAAGATCCCCTCTGCTCACAGGAAATTGCTTTCTAAATGGGTTAAGATGGGCTAAGACCCAAGACATTGACAAACCCTTCAAGTAATGAAACACCTTGGTGGGCACCTCAACAGACAGCCCCAGGGGCCTTTAATGATCTTATTAAAGATTGTGGAACTGTGGAACATGGTTGCAGCTCTTGCACTTTTAGGCACTTTCTTAAACAGTTAAACCTTTAACCACAGAAATAAAGCTCTGTGAACCTCTACCTCCCAGCGAGAGATGATGTACCTGTTCCATATCTCTCACTTTGATCCCTGCCTTGCAGCAATCCCCCATTCTTCTCTCCTTTACCTGAACATCAGGTGTTACCTAGACCAAGAGGCTGTGCCAAATGTAACACTGAGCCCTGGGGACGGGCTCACTCCACAATATATTTACAAGCAGCACTACTGCATTTTGTAATTAAGAGGGATAACAAGAGGAATAGGCCCTCAGCAGGGTTGGCATGAAAACTTAGCACATCAGATTAGTCGCCCACCCCCCCAAAAAAGTAAGTGGAAGGAAGTGGCTGCAAAGTACCTTTCAGATATCCCAGGAGCACCAAACACCAAATCAGGTGTTAACAAGAGAGGGAGAGATAAAAAAAGAGCACATATACTGTAAATGTCACTATTGGGGAAGGGAGATATAAAGGACAGAAAGAGGGAGGAGGCAGAATGCAGACAGAAATGAGAAAAAGAGAGCACGAGGGCAGCAAGGGAGAAAAGTGAAGAGGGTTTGTGTGGGTGCAGTAGTGCGTGAGGTGGAGTGGGTTATTGAGAGGGACTAGTGGAGCGAAGCAAGACACAAGGTTTTAAAACACCTTTTCTGGATACTTGACAGCTTGAGCTCTGTGACATTTAATTATTTCTAAAACATACACTGCAAGCATACGCACACAGGCCTTCACCTAAACCTGCCTGCACCTTTTTTAGTGATACAAATGCATTTTGTGTATCCGCAATAGCGTTGCCTCCACTTAACTAATCCAGATATTGCAGATTTCTTATCTGAGAATCGAGAATAAGTTTGACAAAAAAAAAAGACAGCAAGAGTACTGGGTAAAAGACGAGAGCCAGAGAGAGTACTCAAGATAATGGCAGCAGGATGACCTATGCTCATGGCAAGAACAGTTAGAGGAGACAAAGGGACCTAGCCGTGTCTTCCAGAAAACCAATGCATCATTTAGGCCCCCAGAGAAAGTCTTAATCCTCAGTCAAGGACCAATTAGGAACTAAACAAATAAGCTTACATAATGCAAAACATGACATTGCATTTGTTTGTTTCTGCCAATTAAAACTAGTCATTTACAGCATTCAAAATATGTATATAGCTGCAAAGTAAAAGAACAGCTGTCGCCTCAGAAATGTGACAAAGCTTTATACTCTACCATCCGAGCAGAAGACCATGTATGTATTTGAATGAAAGGCTGGGCTCCCTTTTTAAACACCAAAGGCATGGCATTCCTATAATTATGCAGCAGTGTCAACAAAGGCTGTTCATAAATTCAATTTGCTATCTGTCATCTCGTGCATGTTGGGCTTGGGAGAAAAAACAAAACAAACACAAAAAAACAGACAGTGGATCGATTGAGAACTCAATTTCTGATGGCTCACATGCAGCGTTCAGGGGAAAAGAGACAAATAATTATTCGAATTCTGAAAAGCTTCTGTGTGGTATGGGAGGGTGAAACTGTTAGAAACAGTGCCATGTTAAATAAAAAGACGAGTAACTGCAATATGAAATAATGACCTTCTTTATAATCACATATTTTAATCAAACACATCAACATCTGAATTTATATCTGCACAACACTCTCCTCCCAAAGCAAATTAAAGTGTTTGACATGGGGAAAAATGAGGCATGGGAGAGATGTCTATTATTCACTATCCGCAAAGCCAATCCCTGAGTTTAATTTGCACTGTAATGAGATCTAATGAGAGCTTACAGGCCTTCTGCCTGATGAATTGAAACCACGAGCGAAGGAGGAACACAGTAAGAGTTTAACCTCACCCTAGTCGCCCTCCATGGCTCCAGCGGATAAGATGAGTAAGAAAAGGGAGAATGAAGAGTGGATGAATGACTCCTTCCTTTTTCCCCCTTTTTTTGCTTGCTGCAGATTGTTTTTGAACACATTTGAGCCCATCTGTTCCCCCACAGAAAGTCACCTGTGCAATTAACCTGGACCATTAGCTGTGAAACAAAGGCCTCAGTGGAGGGAGGGAGGTGCTGGTTTATGGCCAGGTGGAGAGGCAACAAGTACACTTTCTTTTAATCTCATCTCTCCAGCTGACCCTCACATCTATGCACCTGGTTTCCTGTTCACACTTGAATTCAGGCTCGGCCGCCTCGAAGCACACAACCACCTGCATTACTCAGCATCCCCCTCCTCTTACTGCTCTGTTGTCTGCTCTCCTACTGTCTGGCTTTGAGCAGAGTCACCCTTTCCCCTCGCCCTCCTTTCCTACAGTTGTAGTCCTCCCCAAGACCCAGCCAGACAGAGACCATTACTGCCACAGAGAACACAGAAAACACAAGTACCCAAAGGACAGAAGTCATGCACCTGTTAGATGTCTTTCCTTTGTTTTCTCCTCTATCTC